TTGATCAAATTTATTTTTCATTGATATTCCTGATTTAGTCAATTTTATCCTTGGTTATATTCTTAGGCATTCACTTACAAGCAATTCAACCCCGAAGCAATTAAAAATACTGATGAAACGGTTTTACCAGCAAAGTAGGTACTTTCCAAGAACCTCCTGAAGAATAGCATTCAGCAACAAGCTTTTTCCTCTCTAAATCCTCATTGTGATAGTGCATTAAAGTTTCATCTACAACATTTGTGTTTTGTTTATGGTCCATTGAGAAAATGAATGATACCTGAGTAAGAGAATGCTGGCATAATGCCATTGAGAGATGTGAGTCACCATAATATGTATTTAATAAATCACTTCCATAAGCTAGAACGAGAGATACTTAAAATGGTAAAGGTTTTTTTTTTCATTATAAAGCTAGGAACCAAATAACTATACACACCTGTATTTAGGTTGCATTCTCCTTTTAAACGCACATAACCCAGTTGCAGGAGAATACCACAGAGGGAAGTAGCAAGCCTTCTGAAGGTGTTGGGAAGATCAATGGAGAAGAGACCCTGACTGACCCAGCTACCATACACCAACAACAACTGAGCTGTGATAGCAACCAGGGATAGAAGCCATCATTACCTAAGAGAGAGGAGCCCAGATGGGAGATGGAGCACTGTCTTTTTACCTGAGATTTCCCTTTGTATGGTTTTAAGTGCCCAACATCAATCATGACTGTATAATTCCAGAAACTAGCAGTTTACAAGGTTTAGGTGGCATTTCATGCAAAGTAACTTAACAGAATAACTCCCCATCTAACTCTGTCCTGTCTGGAGTGTGAAATATCCTGCGGTGTCAATCCTGTGTATGCTCACTTGTCAATCACTCGGTAGCCCTCTGGCATTCTTTCATCTTCAAACAATGCGAATTATACTTTATAATGGCCCCAAAATAATGATTAGATTGTTAGTTTAGATATGACAAAGAGAAGTCCTAAAATGTGTTCTTTAAGGGAAAAGAGAGAAAGTTGGTTATAAGTCTGTATTGTCTGGGAATAAAAGCATGGTGTGTCTATGGCTCAGTACACTTCAGTTTCACATATCTATCAGGGGTCTTAGAAGGTGACCTCATGAATCATAAGGGGACAATCTGCAGTCTTGGAATTAGTTGCCTAAAAGCCCCAGACCTCATGGACAGAGTGTCTCCGGCAATTATATATTATATTAACTTTATATACATATGCATCTTGAAGTAACACATAAGGAAACAGAGGAGATACACTTGCTGCTTATTAACATAACAGTCATAGGTGTGTTCCGCAGTTCTGAGTGCTTATGGCATGACACACTCCTGTGAGGCATCAGAATGTGATGCTTCATGTCTGGTGAATTCCAGCATAAGGTTATCTTAATAGACAGGAGAACAGCTGAAGGTTGCTGAACATTCTGGGAGTCAAAAAGAGGGTGGGCTGCTGGGGAACCATCTTTTTGTACACTGTGAATATTTGTTGTTTCATTGGTTTTCTAAAGGGCTAGGTGGCCAATGGCTAGGCAGGTAGAAGTTTGGTGAGACTTGTGGACAAAGAGAGGTTGTGAAGAAAGGCAGAGTCACCAGCCAGACTCAGAGGAAGCAAGAGATAAACTTGCCATGCTGAAAAAAGGTACCACCATGTGGTAGAATGTAGATAAGAAATATGGGTTAATTTAAGTTGTAAGAACTAGTTAGTAACAAGCCTAAGCTATTGGACAAGCATTTATAATTAATAATAAGTCTCTTTATGGTTATTTGGGAGCTGATTGGCAGTACAGAGTTGACTGGTAGGACAGAAATCTCTGCCTACAGCAGACAATGGTATTTGTAATACAGAAGGACAATGGCAGTCTTCAGAAATATGCTAGGAGCCCGCCTTGGCCTCAAAATTTTGTATGCACATGGACAAAAATCCTACGAATATTAAGACAGACCTCAGTTGATTTATTTCCTTGGTTTGTGTTGGGCTATTAATGCATTTTTCATTTTTGAAATCAAGCCAGCAGCTTGGAAGAACAGAATTAGCACTGTAGTCTGTACTCAAGTCACATGAGAGTTCCCAATTCACGAAGCAGTCATGTCTTTTGTTTTTGTTTTTGTTTTTGTTTCCATGGCAGGGCTTTTCAGTGTAGCCGTGGCTATCTTGGAACTTGCTCTGTAGACCAGGCTGGCCTTGAATTCATAGAGATCCACCTGCCTCTGCCTCCCCGGTGCGGGGGTTAAAGGTGTGCGCCACTGCTGCCCTGCATCTTTATGATTTCTAGCTCTTCTGAATTCAGCTTTCTGTCATATGAGTCTGAAATACTTCAGAGCTGTTAATTCTGTATGCCTACAAGTGATTAACATTTCACAGAGAACAGTTGCCATCATACACAGCCTGTAGCACACCTACTGTGTAACAGCACATACTAAATAAGCAGACATACTCACTAAACTTTCCTCCTACATAGAGTGAACGAGCAAGTCTCACAGTAGCTACAGCCTGTTTTCCAAAACTGAAGAAATAATTGCTAAACCATTTATTTTCCCCATTAAATATAACCAGAAGTAATGTCGTTTATAAATAGTGTTCATCACCATGATAAAAATCGGCTCGTCAAGAAGACCCAAATTCAGTGGGAGTCAGACATGGTTGGCATGTACATACATGTGCCATGCACACACACACAGACATACATATATACACAAATAAAAATAAATCAAGAACATGTTATCCATTAAAAATCTCCATTGCACACATAGAAAAAAGGGAATTATCATATTCCTTATAAGTCAAACCCACAAAGATGCTACTTCAACTTACTTCAAGACTCAGTGAGGACTTCGGAAAAGCAACCTGAAAGTCTGAAATCATTTTTAAATGACAAACTATTACTATTTTGCTTTCAGTTTGCAAGCCTGCCTCTTCATTATCAATTTTATGTACTTTGTGCCCTTGGGTGCCCAGTTTTTTCCCTGAATCATAGTGTTAACTTTTTAAATTATGTCATTGCCACGATGTCCGTTGTCATTCTTTCTACGACACTTCATTGGCAAACCAGCCAACTCATTCCTTCTGCAGTATTTACTATTTCCACTCAATTTTTAACAATTGAAATAATGCAGGGAGGTCCCTACGTGTCTGGTACCTTATGCTCTTGCCATCAAATTTCCACAAGTTTACAAAGCAAACAAAAAAATATAGTTTGAGAACTAGAGACTCTACAATTTATTTTCCACGCAGAAAATTTAGAAAATATTTGCATTCACATTAAACTTGTTCTGATTTCATTTTTTTAATTTTTTGAGATTAAAACATAATTATATTATTTTCCTTTCTCCAAACCCTCCCCTACTTATCCTTGCTCTCTTTCAAAACCATACCATTTACTCATCAATTGTTGTTACATGATGTTTGTATATATATTTATATGCCTAAATACATCCTGCTCAGTCTGTGCCATGATACTTGTATGGATGTTTGCAGAGTTGACCACTGGTCCTGGATAGTCAGTTAGTGTGCTCTTCCCTGGAGAGGCTGCTTCGCTCTTCTTTCCTGGAACTCGGATCCCTCTTTCCCATCTTTGCACTGATTTCTTTTCTACTACCACCCCAAAGTCACTCTCTCACTTGCCATTTTTCTTTCCTTTGGAACACCAGAGGTGCAATTTGTTGCTGATTTTTTTTTAATCTGCACCCGAATAGAAATAACCAAATGTGCTTTCCCTGAGAATTTTCACAATTATAAAACTTGATTGTGTGAGCATGGTGCATAGCCAAGAAATTATCAGGTGAAACACGCTCCTTGGGCCATTTAGAAACCAGGTCTTATCTGACAAATATGGAATACAGAAGATTGACAGGATTTGAAGAGGAAACAGACAGCACCAAGAGAAAAGAGAAATTGCAATTTGTGCGATTTTGTGACAAATCATAACACCCAAAATAACAGAGCCTGCCACCCCCACTCAGTCAGCATATACGTTTCAGTGTAAGCTGGTGGCGAATAGATCCCCTGTACTTACATTCTTCATCTACTTCAAAACATAACGCAGCTTTCCGTATGTGTCAGGCATTAAAAGGCTTTGAATGAAATACAATTCTGAAATTGGCGACTACTCCAAACCCACTGACTAAAATTGCTTGAAATTGTTATCTAGGTAATTTAAAAATACAAATAAGTATGGAAGAACACATACAAAAGAAATCAAATTATAGAAAACTATAAAACTGGAGTCCATGCAAATATACAAAGAAGATTATATGCAAACATACATACAGTAGAATGGATTTCCGATTTCAGTTAATAGAAAAGAAAAGTAATATTTTCCCTGCTTTCAGCAACCTATCTTCTAGGAATTGGTCATGATGCATAAGGAATCTCTGAATGGGTGTGTAATTAATATTTGAGGTGAGATATCAACTTGTGTGTGCTTGCATAGGCTATGTTGTCTTACCTGTGCTTCCCTTCCTCTGAAGTGTTAATACTATTTGCCTTAGCAGCTACCTCCTCTGCAAAGATGCTCTGTAAATAAATGAGGTAATGCTTGGGAAATCTTTGCAGCCTGGGATAGAAAACCAGCTCACACTGTAAGATATACTTACTATTCCATGTTCAAACCCGGCGTGTCCTTGCCTCTATTTTAAATGGGAATTGCATTGTTTGAGTTCTTGGGTTTGTATCAAAATCTGGGTCAATATAAAAGGATGACTATTTTTAATTTTAATACGGACGCTGCTTCAAACCTCTGCACGTGAGGGTTGAAAACTGTAGAAAATAAACAAAGCACATAAATCAGCTTTGAAGGAGAAAAATCTTCATTTGGAAGGATTTTCTCTTTTTTCAATGAGGAGTATAAACACTGTATTTTCCAGGAGAAATATTTGGGTACAGAGAAGAGGCTAGTGCCACACAGCCTGAGTGTGTGTGCGCGCGCGGGGGTGTGCACGAGGGTGTGTGTGTGTGTGTGTGTGTGTGTGTGTGTGTGTGTGTGCTGTGCGTGCGCGTCCGTGGAGAGGGGCGGGGGAGGCGGATGAGGAGGATGAGATCATAGCTTCAGGATCCTCAGGAAACCCTGGTACAGGCAGCAGCCAGCCTCCGCTGTGCCCACATGACCCACAACTCTGGCAGCGGACCCGGCACTTCCAACATTACTAAATAATCAGAGAGCGGCTCCCACTCAAGGCCCACACCTCCCTGCAGACGATGGACACCTTCTAAGAGTTTGGAGAGTGGGTGACCCAGGCGCCCGTCCATTGCAAGGTGTGTGTGCGCGGTGACGGCTTCTTTGACGGCTAGGGTGGGGAAAAGCTCAGGGATTCAGAGGGTCGGGGTGCGAGGCTAGGAGTGGGTTCAGGGACTCTGCTGTGGCGCTGTCCCTAACCCGGATCCTTGGAGCCCTGGAGGAGCCAGGACGCGCGGCGCCTCTGCGCAGGGACCGGGGCGCCCTAGCAAGGGCAGACGCCTGGCAAAGTCTGGAGCCTCCGGCGGCGGGGAAGGGCTGTGCCCCGGCGCCCACTCGCAGAATTCCCACCTGTGCACCCGCGCCCGGCGTGTACGGGGTACCGGGACTGCAGCAGTCACCTCCTAGGGCGGCGGGGCGGCGCCTTGGGCCCG